AGAGTTGCTTCCTCCCAAAAAGTTGAGCTCTAACCTTAGCAGGAGCTGAGAGTCAAGCTCTGTTGCCTCTTACAGTGCTGAGATGCTGTGTTTGATTCTGAGCAAGGCAGTGGCTCTGGAACATCCTCCTCCTTGGCCAGCAAAGAAAATCGTTGGAACAGTGGGCCTCTTGGAATTTCAATGAGGCTTCTGCATATAGCTACTTTGCCCAAATAACAGTGGTCTGGGGATGCATAAGACTAGAAATGGCAGTAGGGTCTGCAATCTGCTTTGATCCACTACTATTAGAACTGGAAACCTTTGCAAATGGTATTTCTTAGAATACTTCAAATTCTCAGTGCTTTTCTCAGTTAAAACCTCATCAAGAGAGCCTCTGGTTTAGTCTGAGTTCTTTAGGATATGAAGATTATGTGATTGTGCTGGCTAGCAACCCGTCCTTGATACATTTGAACCTATTGGCTAATTTTAACCAAATGGGACAGATTAATTATTTTCCTGTAAGTTTTATGAAGCAGGAATCAAGACTAAGGGGTTTTTTATAATTTCTCACAATATTATTGATGTGTATAGTAATTAACTTTCAGAATTTTTCTCTGAAGTTTTTATTCTATTTTTTTTCTTATACAGAATTACTCTAAAATCAATGTGCTTCTTGAAACAAAATTAATTTTTAAAAGATATAAGATGATCTAACGTGGTAGTCATGGTTTTGTTGCAATGATATAGGTTGTGTGAATAATAGTTCTGGTAGCACACTGATTGATGTAATAACAGGAAATTCTTAGTTGATATCAGTGTAATTCAGAAAAGAAAATAGCCCTTCATTCAGAAAGTATCTATAATATTTAGTTCTATTTGACACTGAGCTGCAGGTGGTAAAATGGGCAAAAGATTCACTGAGTGAAAACTGCCTACATTTTACAGAAATTACAAAATGGGAAAATGGGAAGAAAACAATAGCAAAGAGTTTGGAAGGATGAAGAAAATGACCCTTCCCTTAGTACTACTTAAAAAAAAAAAAAACCCAAACCCCCAACAACCAATCCCCCCAAAACCCAAAACATATTCTCTGTTCTACATCCATTAAAGAAGAAACAAGTTCTATACATTTGAGGGAAAAAATAATCAAGAGGTTTCTCGAAGACTTAAAGAGCAAGCTACTTTCAAAATGATAGTTGTGTATTGAAGTTCTATGTCATCTTGAGAAAACTGCAAATAGTGTCATCTTCAACTTATCTCTGCTTAGGTAAACAATGAGCAGCTGAGATGCAAATATTGAAGGAGGGGGTATTGCTCTTGAACAGAAAGAAAAATTCTAAATAACTTTTCAGGTCTGTGACAGTGTCATCATTTACTTAAGTTAATAGCATTAAATCTTTAGATCAGTGAAGCAATCCACAGCCTTTTTGGCAACTGGAGTGCCTCATTGCTTCTGGAAACTCAGATCTGTCAGTGTTCATACTCTGTTGGAAAGAAATTTGTGCCTTCCCTGCTCAGAATTAGATTTAGCCACAGAAAGCCTTGCATTTGTGATCTCCATGCTCAGTTATGGTAAATCATTGTATTCAGGGTTAAAACAAAAAATCTAAAATTCTTTCCAATGCAGAAAAAACAGTATACACAAATTACTGGTGTCACTGCATGTTAGTAGTCACCTTGTAAATACTGAATTAGATTCAAAGATATGCATCTCCAAACTTCTGCAGAGAATCATTTCTAGTTAGCTGGATGATGACACTCTCCCAACAAAGCATTTGTTTTCTCTAATGTCAGGGTTTCACTGGAATTACTTCAGTGTACATGAGACAATTTTTTCTAGTAACTTATCTCCTAAGCCTAGAATTCACTGCCATTGCTCATATAATGTTAGAGATTTTGTGTATGTGCTTGAGGATGATCTTAAACATAAGATAATGTTATAATATGATAATAAGATATCTGTTCATACTTCATGTTACCTGGGAAGTAGGAAAAAAATCTCACTCATTTTTCATGCAGATGGACATCAGTCTGTGAATGCAGTGGGTTTTAATATTTTATTTTAATATTAATTGGTGAGTTGCTGAAAATCAACCTGGCTATACAATTTCAGCACAGAAATATCAGACACACTTTTTCCTGCTTCATTCATTATCTCTCAGTAACCTTGACAGTGAAGGGAGCCACTGCATCTCCAGACCATTCCAAAATATACTGCAAAATCCACTTTTATTCAATGGTTTCCCTGAATATTAGACAAAGTAGCCATTCCTGATGGGTTTTTTTTGTTAATTAAAAATACAGTCGGTCATCCTACCTCATCAATTGTATATAAGGGACATTTTTACCATTAAACACATAGTAGAATCCTTACGATTTACCATTTGTTCTCAAAATTAAACCTCCAGTGAAAAAAAATGCAATTTATTTTTTTCTCTAAACCCAATGTTTCAATACTCTCATCTGTTTAATCCATATTATCATAGCCTTTACAATTCAAAGCTTTTTATTCTTGCCGAAAATAGTATTCTCCCTGTGTTTTCATTTAATTATTATGAAATACAGTTACAATTATAGAAGAGAGCACACATTGTGTAGGACAACCAATGGTAACCCTGTCTCTTACTATCAATTTGGAGACATTAGAGACAGTTCTGTTATTAATGCTTATTGTTCTATTGACTTGAGTAAATTTTAGATGAGTGTCATTGTGAGTTTGTCTGATGGTGAACCTCTGGTGAAAACTAGGCATAACCTAACAGTTTCTGCAAATTGCATTAATCCTTTACAGTTAACCAAACAACAAACAACTTAATGGGTCACCTCAATATGAAAATAAACCATGTAGTCACAGAAATGGACATTTTTCAAGCTCAGCTAGAAAAAGCAGGCTTTGGACTAATTCTGTTTCTTTTGTCTGAGCAGTGAGATTTAAAATTCCTACAGAATAAAAAAGACTAATAGCATTCTTGACAGGGAAAATTGAGGGAATGAGAACATCAATTATAGGAATGACTGATAAAATTATTTAATTGACACTAATCTAAAGATAGATCTAGACAAAAAGTATGATGGGCAAGTGATGGATTAAGACTTTGAGTATAAAAAGAGGCTTTCTTTTGCATCTGACTCTAGTGGAGATGAAGAGATCATTTTATTCTGTAATTCAACAAGAAGATGTAAGTATTGTGATTAAAAATTGGAATAAAAATTACAGATTAAAATACACTGTTTCAAATACTTTTTACAGAAACCCAAAGAACAAACTGTAGTCAAGGATAACAGAATTAACATATTTTTGTAATACTGCTTGAATGCAAATTTTGACATCTTTTGAAATAACTTCTGTGGTTTTATTCAAATAACACAAAGAAAACATTTTTTGTCATGGAGAATTTTCCAGTTTCAAAAATGACTTTCGGGATTTAACAGTTGAAAGCTAGGAAGTTTCAACCAGAAGTGCATTTTTGATAAGGTAAAGGAAAACAAAACTTTGCAAAAATTATATTGCTATTTTCCAGATCTGTCTAGTCTGAGTTGTGAGAATCATGCAATGGCTGACAGAACATCCTCAGCAAATGATAAAAAGCATTAAATGAAATCGGCAAAGTTGAGCTTCCCATTTATGTACAATAGCATTTAAGAATTGTATAAGATAAACTTTGTTCAAGCAGTTTTAGATCAGAGATCCAATGACATGGCTAGATTACTATAACCCTAATGTTCCTGACAAAAGAGGGTAGGAAACATAACTACAAGACACACCTTCTGCTTCTAGCCTGCATTATGAACATTATGCTACATTGAAGTAAAAAAATGGTTACTCTTTAAACTGGTGAATGATAGGTGTATTGCATTGTTAGCTTTCGCAGCTCCACATTCAAGTTCACATACACACTGTGTAAATTTTGCAGAGAATCATAAGCAGCTTCAGAAAAAGGAGCTGGAAGTGTAACACATTCTGTGCAACATCTGTGATGCTTTTCTTACTGAAATATGAATTTGAGGGACTTGTAGTGAATAAACTCATCTGTTGCAGAGAAAATATAATTTGTCAAGAAAAAAAAGGGAACTAACATTGGTATCTCTGCCTTATAACTCAATTTTGCACATCCCAATGCCAGATCTAACCACAATTAAGATAATCAAACTTGTGAAACTTCACTGGTTATAAATTAACAGGCTGGGGCTAGTCTAATCACTGGGAAGTGCTACATCCCTAGCCTTTCACATATAACAAAAAAAACCCCACCCCCCCAGAAAAAAAAAAAAAAAAAAAAGAAAATAAGTGATATCTCAGATACAAAGCAGCAAGGAAGTACGAAAACTGAGTTTTGACTCAGCTCTTTTTTCTCTGATGTTAGAGCAAAGAGCATGAGTCAAAGGAATTTTAAGGGACTGTGACAGGCCTGGATCACAGGGAGCTCCAGGGATCACAAGCGGAGCAGGGGCGTGTGAAGCCCTCAGTATTCCCAAATACAATCACAAGCAGATGTTTGTATTTAGCTCTGCTTCCGTACCTGAGTCTCTGAAAATTATCTGTATTCACTTTACACCGCCTTATTCCCCACCACTAACCAAGCCCTTGTGAAGTTGGAGCGAGTGACAGGCACAGGCCAGGCTGCCCAGACCAGAGCTCCTCTGGCTGCTCACCAGCCTGCCCAAGGCCGCCATAATCAGAGGTAATTGCCCGGGCTGTTATCTCCCTGCAGCCTGCGTCGTGCTTCCAAATACGTCTAATTGAATTGCTATAATTTTTGCCCTTCCTAATGCAGTGGGTTGGCGAAGGGAAAATGACCCAGGGGAGGCGGAGGAGAGGAGGGGGTGGGCGGCTCTCGGCTCCCTCCCCACTCCCCGAGGGCGCCCCTCCTGCGCGGTCGTGCTGCAGCCCATAAAGGCGGAGGGAACAGAGAGGGTGGGCGTGTAGATCCGCGTCCGCGGACATGCAGTGAGTGTTTGCCGGTAAGACTGTAGCCGTGGGACAAGCCGCTCCGCCGCCAGTACCACCTGAAACGCTGCGAGGGAGAGGCCGTTGCGCCCCAGCTCAAGGTACTCCCCTCCCCACCTCTCGGCCTCTCTCCCAGTGGGAATTTGGGTGCCAAACCGGTAGCCACAGGAGCCCTGCCCCATGGGAAGAAGGTTCACCCCCCACTTCCCACCCGCAGCAGAGATGCTCACGTGCCTTGGGGAATCCATAATTGGAAGAGCAAAGCAATAACTCAGAGCATTTACCTTAGTATGGTTTCTTTCCAGATGCAGAGGTGCACTAGTTTCCTGTTTCTGTCTTTAATCCTTTGTGCCACCCTGTCAGAAACATTTGGACTGGTTTTCTCAGTAAGTACTAATCTGTTGGAGGTCCTATCCATTGGTCTGCATCCATGTCTCACCTGGCAAGTAACAGTAAACCTTGCAGTGATATACACTGTATTTAGATATAGGGGTTGTACAAGATGCAGCACTCAAAAACATTTTGGGCAGTAAACAGGTTTTAAGTTAAGAATTTGGGGCTCTTGAATACTAGCTCCCTTTTAACAAATAATGACTAAAGGGAAAAAAGAGTGTCTAGTTTGTAGACTGAAATTGAATGGCCTGACTTGAAAAGGTGGTGTACATATGGACTTCTCTTTATAAAGAGGCTATCATGTAAATCCAAACACTTAAAAAAAAACCCACTGCTGTTTGCTAAGGTGATTATCAGGTGGTAATATAAACTTGGAGTACAAAGTCAAAATTTCTGCCTCCTAAGTGTGACTTGCAGTTTCACTTACATGGTGTGAAATCTTCATACCACATGGATTTCAATAGCAAAACTATTGACTTAGATGGGGCAAGAGTTCATGATTAATATTTGCTTCAATATTATTGGCTTTTGTTTTTTACAATATTTCTTGATTTCAAGCCTTCAGAAGATACTTTCTGCTAAGAGAATGTTCATTTGGGTGCTGTTTGCTTTGTCTTCAGAAAGCACTGTAGTTCATGCAATAACATACTTGCATTTTTTTTCTTTAAGGCAAAAGAAAAAAGGGGCTGGACTTTGAATAGCGCTGGTTACCTACTTGGGCCACGTAAGTCAAGCACTTTCTTTTTTTTTTTTTTTGCATTATTTCAAAATGCAGAAGTTGCGATTTTTTTGTTTGTTTTTGTGGTTTTCTTGTAAACCAGTTTGCTGAAGTGTGCTACTCAATTTTCTGATGAATACAGTAATTTTGTCTAAACCTGCAAGACTAGAGAAACTCCTTTGAGAGAGAACTTGTTCAGATATTTGTTACATGCCTATTATAGAATTGAGTTGTCTTAGATAATAACTGTTCTTTTCTAAAGCAGAGTTGTGCTGTAAGGCTTTATATGCAGAAGTACGTCTGGGCACTCCTTGTGTTTTTTGAACTGTAATTGTCATTGTAATATGACAAATATCCTGTCTGCCGCCCCCCCAAAGTGTTACAAAATCTTATAGCATCTAGATATCAAGGAAAGAATGACAAATGTGACACTCTGGCACTTATCAATGTATATTGGATTTCACCTTTAAATCTATTTGAAAATGGCTTTACTACCTAGCTTTATTATACTACTTCCCCCCAATTAAAGCAAGACAAATTAAAACAATTACATGCAAACTTGTGACTGTAAATATTAACAGTTAACTATGAAAAATACTTGTTGCACAAGGTGTTTAAAATACAGGAACACATTGGTTTATGAAGATGGAGAATCACAAATGTAGATTATAAGAAAAGTGAAATGCAGTGCTAAGCTGCCCCAAATATCTGTCCTCTTACTATTATTTCTTGTTAATGTAATAATGCTCACTACCAATGTTTCTATATTTTCAGTCTCAGTACTACATGACACATACTATACATACTTATTATGACTCTAATAGTTCCTTTTAACCAATCTTAAGGATACGTACAAAAAAAGATTAATGCATCTTAGTTTATTAACTAGTTCTATAAATGTCTGGAAGTATACTTGCTCCAAAGCAGATCTAACCAAATTGCCAAAGATACTGTGGGGAAACGTACTTGTCAAAGTGCCATTAATCTAAGACTAGATAATAGGAATCATCCTTTGTTGCAGGTTGTATTGATCAGCTTTTACTGATAAAGGAAATGCCCATTGCAAGGGGGAGAGAAGAGGCACCAGGGGCATGTAAGATAGTTTTTGAAGGTTATTCATGTAAACTATCTGCAGTTTTCTTTTAAGCAAATTCATCAGCAACATTGTCTAAAAATAGAGGAAAGAGTAGCAAAAACAACTTCCCAAATTACACATGAATGTACAAACTTACACTTTCTTTACAACTTCCTCTGAATTCAGTAATAGCTTCAGCTGGGCTGGGTCTGTAAATGATATAAATCATAAACACAAATTCATAAGAGATTATTTTATTTAGTGACACATTAATTGCTTCTCTGACATTGTGTACATCAAAAGTGCCCATCATGATTTTTCTTTGAAATCCATGAAAAGCAAGCAATGTAGCAAAAGTTGTTGTTTAGTCAATTAAAACCTCTGATGTTTAATTTCTTTATCAGATGCAGTAGATAATCACAGATCTTTTAACGACAAACATGGTTTCACTGGTAAGCGTGAAATACAGCCTGATGAGGATATTAAAGCAGGTAATAAAATTCTGACAACCAGTATTGTTGACTTCATTTTTTATGTTTAGTAATTTATTTACAGTTATTGAGTTAACTAACTACCTAGGTACAAGGTTATTCCTGCACTTTAGAAAAATTCTAACAAATGTACAAAAGGAAGAAAAATCAAATTTGGCCATTCAGTGTGCTCTTTGTACACGGTCATAGCTTAAAACATCTTGGTACCTAGGGAATAATACCATAATTATGTTGCTTTTAAAGTCTAATAGACTGTATTACTTTGAATAAACCTAGTTTTTTATTTTTGTATGTCAAATAAGTACTTCAAATGTCATCCTAAACACTCAAGAGTTGATTCTTTTCAGCAAAGAAGTGAGCTCATAAAGGAATCTTTCAGTAGGGAAACCTACAGAAACTGGCAAATATTTTTTTATTTTTATTCTGATATTCTAGAACTGAAACCAGACCTTAGAACTGCATGACACTGTTTATGCTGTAAGAGTCATCACTATTTAAAAAAAAAAAATCCATGTTAAATCTCACAAAACTTCCTATATTTAAGCAAGATGGATTATCTTCATTAAAAGATTGAGAATCTGGTTGTTGCAATTTAACTCAGCAGACAGTTAAAGCAACTACACAGCTGTTTGCTCATTTCTCCTCTGCCCTTCCTCGGTGGGATGGGGGAGAGAATTGGAAAAAACCTCATAGGATGAGATAAAACTAGTTTAATAGGACAGAAAAGGAAGAGATTAATAATAATGATAAAAGATACACAAGTGATACACAGCACAATTGCTCACTAAATGCTGACTGATGCCCAGCTAGTTCCCGAACTACAGCCCTCCCTGGCCAATTTCCCCCAGCTTATATAGTGAGCATGACATCATGTGGTGTGGAATACCCCTTTGGCCAGTTTGGGTCAGCTGTCCTGCCTGCGTCCCCTCTCTGCTTCTTGTGCACCTCCTGTGGAAGGCTCATGCCTCTTCGTTGGCAGGGCCTGGGAAGCTGAAAAGTCCTTGACTTAATTGTAAACACTACTTAATACACTAATGTTTAGTTGTTGCTGTCAACACTATTCTCATCCTAAATCTAAAACACCGGCTACTATGAAGAAAAATTAACTCTATCCCAGCCAAAACCAGGACACTGGTCAAAACTGAAGTCAAGTAAACATATTGTTTTGGAGTTGTATGTATCAGAATTTATTAAATGGCAATTAAATGGATGCAGCCTTGTTCTGGATTCATCATCCAAAACTGGGTCACTACAATATATGTTTAGGCTCCCTTTATGAAGAGAAGCTGGCATTTTTAGGATTTATTTTTAAATACCTACTTCAGGATAAAATGTAGAAACTTCTAGAAAAAACTATTTCTCCTGAGGAGGAGCTAAGTCTGCTACAGACATCTAAAGTGAGCTGGAATGAATCTCATCTTTGGACTGCCAAAATAGTGATCTATTCCTCACTGAAACCAAAGCAAGCAGTACTTGAGTACTGTTGCATTCATCACTGCACTAATGGGGGAAGACAGTCTCAGGCCCAGAGCGCACTCAGACTATTTTAAATCCATCTAGCACAATAGAAATGTAGCTAACACTAAATAAGTTCATAAATAAAGGAAATGTGCTTGATTATAATTTTATGGGCATAATTACTTCGTCAATAGAAGACTAACATTAATACATTTCTTAGGTGTTACATTCTCAGAATTACTGCTAGTTTAGGTCTGGTACATAGCTACATAGTGGGGTTTAGTATATGTACTGGTTTGGGTTTTTTGGTGTTTTTTTGTTGTTGTTTGGTTTGGTATTGTGTTTCTTTTTAAGAAAGAAAAAAAAGGAAAACCTACTTCCTCAAACACTGGTGTAAAAACTATATTTTGCCAGGCAGGAACAATGTGAACGGAAAGCACTTGTAATCTAACAATGCAGCTCACACTGCAACATGTTGCCATTTGTGGATATACTACCAGCTCCTTTAGAGGAGTATGATCTGTAAGAGTTAGGGAACTTTCTCTTTCCCAGGTACTGCTGTATCTCACAATTACAAGTAAACCCCACCAAAGTTGTCTGGATGAGACCTGAAAAGCTGCCTCTGTTATGTACCTTATCAAAAGTTTTCTTTGAAAAGAAAGAGTTCCTATCCAAAGGAGACTTACATATAAAAAAAAATAAGGTAGTCAGAATTCTTACTTTAATTGAAAAGGAAGGACTTTTTTAGTTAAATTCTGCTGATTATTTACAGAAGTATCTTAAAATGGCAATATGCATTATTGCTATAAAAGAATTCATGCAAAGGACTACTCTCTCTCCTTGAAGGAATGTTGCAAATTTCACAAGCTCTCCAGATAACCTAGAGGAACTTGTAAGCTGTATTATTTATGTAACACTAGGTCCAGGAAAAAGGTAATCTATGAGCATAATTAGGAAAATCTTTAAATTCCAAGACCATAACTGTCTCTTTACTAGAGCGCAAGTAATTGTCTATATAGAATTAAGGTCAATAGCAGAGTATATAGAAATACACATGTACAATATGGTCAAGTCAATAAACAAAAATATTTATCCAATAAATATCACATTGGTAATAAAATCTGGGTCAATAAACTACTAATATAATAATGATTAATTATAACAAAAATCCATAACAGCTTAGGTGGGAATAAAAATTAAATTAAGGAACACTTCAAATGACATAAGTATTATTAATGTAAGTAATAACAACATCTTTGTGTCAGTTCAAAGAGTGGAAGACAAGACTTTTAGATGCAAATTTCTTAAATGTATTCTTAAATGCTGACTCTTTATACGCTAGAAACTTCCATGTCCCTTACAACTCTCCATCAATATTTTTTATTTGTGCTACAGAGCTCAGTCTGCCTTCTGATCCTGTATGTCACTAGAAGCCTAAATCTTCTTTTTCTTCATGGAAGAACTCCCCCTAATATTGACCTGCTGCAAAGTCAGTCTTTCAAGCTATTTCCTGAGATTAAACACATCCCCTATGATAACATCAAGGGACAGTATTTTCAGTGATGTAATAATGGACCATCAGTCAGATACTGGTACCCATCTGTTTTGTATGCAGAGAACTAAAAATCTTAGGGAAATTACCTACCATTTGTTCTCTAATATAGAACAATTCTCTATCCTGTTGATATAAAGCAAGTTATCTCCCCTTCTTTTTTTTTTTTTTTTTTTTTAAATAGACACAAAAAGCATACTTCTCAAACTACCAAAGTGCAATAACAAGCTCCCAGGGAGCTTGATAAATCGGGCCATTTAAAAAGGATCAGAATGCCTACTTTTATAAGATCAAAGAGGAGTATGTTGTATTAGGTACATACACAAAAACATAACTTCCTGAGCTTTCGGTAAAGTCCCAGGCCTACCTTTCGGGCTACAAATCACTTTGATATCGCTTGAGTGGTTATTGGGAACAAAGTCAGACTACATGAAGAACTTTTAAATGTTTTGCATAGCTGATGAATTTGTTTGCTAAATTTACCTTTCCCTTCAATCTTAGGCTAATGGTCACAATGGAGAGAGGTGAGAACAGTTGATAACTCCCTTCTGCAACAGAACTCATAAGGCCTTAAGGACCATGACCATTAAGGTGTCAAAGCAGCTCCTATGCAGCAATAGCATACATAGTGGGGCAATTTTGATTCTGAGAATTGCAGTTACCTACCTTAAGGTAGCTTTGCTCTTCCATTAAATTAGGTTTTCCATTAAGGATTTTAAGGAGAAAGAAATTTCAGATAGCTTTTTTTTTCCCAGAGTACTCCTAAACCTAGCCACAATCTCACATACAATAGATCTTTACACCATGTTAACTTTAAGTAACAACCAACTTGTTTTATAGGGGATCTTGGAAGACCACTGGCTGATGAAAACATTGTGCGCACAGTAATTGAATTTTTGACTTACTTACATCTTAAAGGTTAGTGAATACCTTTTTAATTTTTCACAATTTCTGGTGTGAAATTTACTGACAAGATAGGACTATCCTTGAATGTAAAAGTCTGCTACAGCTTTGAGTGTGCAAGACTTTAAGCAGCATCTCTGGTGTGCAGGAGGGACTATCAATTCCATTTTAGTGCACTAACAGGCCTGATTTAGAGAGTGCAGGTAGTTCTGCTATGCTGTAGGTCAATGAATATCCAACATAGCAGGGTTCTAATACCATTTGATTACTCTGGGCACTGTGAAAACAATAACAGCTACTACTAAAATTGTATGGACCCAGCTTTTAGAATAGTTGAAAACAAACTAAATACAGTTTGATTACATGGGAGTTAGTTAAAACAATTCAATAACAAATTAAATAAGACCATAGTTCAATGCCAAGAAGAGTTGGTTGAAATTCTGAAAGACTTGTTAGCGACAAAAGAAATACATCTCCCTTTCTGCATGTATTCTACAATAAAGTCACATCATAAAATTGCAACAACACTAAGCTGAATGTTGGCAAACAGCTCAAAATGCTGCTAGTAAAAACACTGTGGAATCTTAAAATTGTGACAAGAATTGTAAAACTGAGCTTACAGTGGATTCTATAAGAACTGTAACTTTATTATAGCATTAGGTGTAAAAAAAAAAAAAATCTGGCTGCTTCTAAGGTTTCATTAATTTTGCTTAAACCTCCCCCCCCCCCCCCCCCAATTCAGAGCTTTTAATAACCTCTTCAGCCCTTCTAAAACTGTCTAGAAAATGTTCAAAAACATAATACATACTTGAAAAGAAAACAATAGGAAGGAAAAAAGTTATTTTTACTGCAAATGTTTGAGGAATTCTCTGTCTCTGAAAGAAGACAATTCAATAAATCTGTAACTTCTATATTCTTACCTTTGTAAGAAATAAGCAATTTTGCATGCTGTGGAATAGTAACAAAGAACTGTATGTTACATTTGTATTTTAATTTCATTATTAAAAGATACTTTCAAGAGATCTGTTTATTTTCTGTATATCTAGGAAACAAAATTCCAGACCTCTTTGGCATAATTTTCTAAATTTCTTGCATCCACCCATAAAAAATAATTCTCACTACTGAAAATATCAATCCAGTGTTATTGAATCAACTTTGCATTTAAAAAAAAAAAAAACCAACTCTTTATGATTAGTACTAAAGCCCTGAGATAATTCAAATATATATTTAAAGTATGTTATTAGCATGTATATTAACTATTGACAAAGTAATAGCTTGTTTGTTGTACCACTGTGAAGAAGGAGGAGCTCTAAACACTCCTTTATCCTGCTATATGAGCCTAGGAAGTAAAACCAATAACAGGACACAACAGAAAGGGTGTGAAACATGTCAAACTCAAGCATGCAGGCGCTGATGAGTAGAGTAAGAGCTGTTAAATTGGGCAAGAAAATAGAATGCATCTCATAGAAATACAAATTACTTCTTTCCTGGGATGAATGAGCAAAAAAGGCTGTATTGTAACTCTATGTAACAATTCCTTGTTTAGGATAGCTATGTCAAACAGTCATTTTTATTCAGAAAAGACCGTATTATTATCTGTCCTCATAAAAAAAAAAGGAATCTCCAGATTATATAAAATGGCTTTTCCCTGAGATAGTTCTTGTATTCCCAGGTTTCAAAAGACACAGAATGTTATCATATTATCCCTTAACAATATTTATTGGCAAGATCTAGTACAAACTCTCACATAAAATCAGAACTGTAGATTTAAGAGTTGAAAAACATACTTTTTTATGATGGAGACGCTTTAACATTTTTGCTCAAATTAAACTTTACTACGTTAAATATATTGGCTTAGATATGCTCTTTTGGGGGATGGGGAAAACTCCCACTCATGTGATTCAGATTCAGGGAATGGTTATTCAGATTAGATGTTTATTTCAATCTGCAAGATAACGTGAATATTTTAACTGCTAAGAAGTATCTTGGCAATAACTAAAAGTGACCTTCAGCTCTTTCTCTTGAAAATAGCTCCCTCCAGCTTTAAAGGCTTCCCATATACAGTAGGCTGTAGGATGGCAACCATAACTGGATAATATTAATCCCAGCATTTGAGATGCTGGGATCCAGCAATATCAATTGACATAATAAAATTGATATAATTTCATTGTCATTCTGTCATTGCTGTTTCTAAAAATGTGAAATTATTGCAGGAAGATATTATTAACATTAAAAAGAAAAAAGTTTATAAATTGAAACATTAAAAGTTCAAGAATTTGCCTCTTATAGTTGAGAGAAGAAAAATATAAAAATGTATACTACTGAAATTTGATTTCATTATTTAATTTATAAGATTAATATGCATACTTACATATGTGTTAATTATCTTTTTTTTTTTTTTTTTACAGAGGTGGGAGCACTTGACAAACTACCTTCACCAGAGGAAACAAACCAGTCTTGAAGAAGTATGCATTTTTATTTTATTGTAGTGTAGATTTAGATTGAATTCTAAACAAAAGATCCAAATGAACTGAAGATGAGAAGTATTGCTTGCATTAATCTGATAAAGGTAAACAGCATTCTGCTCCCTGTTGGGATTTTATTTGTTTGGAATTTTTTTGTTTACCTTTTCTTATTTTTTTTCTCTCCTGTGATGTTAGACTGTAAAATTTTGCCTTGGTAAAATTTTTCTGTAGGTAAATGATAAAATAAAAATAAAGAGCAACTACATTGTTTCATATTTTTAAAATTAAATACAAAGCAGCACACAATACATCATATACAAAGTCCAAGTTAAATTGTAAGATTACAGTGCATGTATGCTCTGCAAATTGCAGTAAAGCAAAACATATATGCTACATATTGGGTACTTTAGCTAACTGAGAAAAAGAGGAACAGTGACTTCAAACTGCTGCCATACAGAGTCTTTTTAAGTCACGGATCTGTCTGTATGTCTAAACTTCATGGAAACCTTCTTCTCATCATTTCATATCTATGAAAATATGAAAGTCATATTCATTTTAAATTTCATATTATTCACCTGTAATACACCAGCCCCTTAACCGAAGCATACCTTCACACAATACAAATTTAACTGTTCTGTACAAGTAATAGTTCTACACAAATCCTGTGTAGGATTCCTGTTCCTAAGTCATCAAGAATACTGGATCTGTATTGAAAAAACTCTCTTTAAAGAAGAAACTCTCCCATCCACTCCAAGATTAAAAAAATATTTTATTTTATGAGATGCTTTAGTCTGAGTACAGCAAAACACTTGAACTGATCCCTAACAAAAGAGCTTTGATGTACTGTGACCAGACTGCTAGGCCCATGCACAATAAGTGTCATATCAAGAATGAGGAAAGGTTTGAGAGGATAGAGAATCTTAGAAAGGTTTTTCACACTCAGATGACTCTCTGCATAGTGCAATGAAATCTCATCCTTTCAAAATGCTGCTGTGCACTAAAGGGCACAGAGTGACAGAAATTTTGCAGGACATTATTACATAATCTGTTTTTTTGCTTTTAGTATAGCAGAGTACATTCTAGATGCCAAACCACTAGTGTCTAATTTGAATCCACAAGGTTATCTCACCTTGTCAATCAGCCAGTGCTATTCCTCTGATAATCACTCAGCCTCTGATCTAATGTCTGACGTTCACTTCCCAAAGTGTACTTGTACGCTTTTTATCAGAGCCAACGAGCTTTTGAGCAAGCTCTTCAGACAATGTTTTACTGTTTTTGGTATTTTTTGAAAGAGTAATAAAAAAGCATATGCTGCTAGTATACATGCTAGTAGTTCAACATTATTTGGTAAATTTCTAGGCCTCCAAAAATGTGAAAAAAGAATAGAGTGAACTTTATCTTCTGTACATTAGTATAATTCAGTAATTCCAAACCCTCATTTTCAGCAGTAATGTCCACATTTCCTATCATAAACTTGAAAGCAGAGCTCACTAAAATCAAGAGATGTTCTTTCCATTGATTTCCATGGACTTGGGTTCATTGACTGCTAAGAACCAGTATCCATTTGCAGAACTCAGTAACAAGCCCTCTTTCTATGGCAAAGCAGCCAAATCTATGATCAAATAAAAAGAATAGAATCTTAACATTTAATTTCTTTTATTTTGAAATAGGATAACAAATTGAGTTTAACCTTAGAAAACAGTTATTAAATTAGCATACTGTCAGCTGGTTAAAGTTGATATGGTCTTGTTAGAATATTTATTTGAAATTCTGAAATTTGAGTTTATTTGAAATACTGAAAAAGTCAGAGGAACAAGTTCCTTGGAAGATTTACATCACTGTCTAAGCAGGGAGGCCCACAAGTTCTTACCCGTTGTGCTGCATTGCCATATGCATATATTATAAAAGGATCATTATAATCTAAATACCAAAAGCAATCCACACACTTTCACTTAGTAATTAGTGCATTCAAACACACACTGACAATATTCCAAAAATACAGAGGGGTAAAATTTTCAGCCTGTTTCTGCACCTTCTACAGCTTTTATCTTTGCAAAAACAAAGGGTCAAAAAAAAAAAAAAATAGGGGCATCCTTCTGGATCAATTTCAGTAACATTATTATTTTATTTAAAGCATGTTTTCATCGCTACATCTCAGACCTAAATTCTGCAAATATTTGGGATGGCATCTCCATAATCAGCCTCTCAGACAAACACCTGATAAAAGATAACCTTTAAAGCACAATTTGAAAGCAATTAGTTTCAACAGGGCAAAGAGACAACAAAAGTATGTGACAAGTTTCAGTAGAAAATAAAAAAAAATCCCTATCCATTTCCTCCTCATTTCATTTATTTACTCATTTGCACACATTGTATCCCACTTTTGTGTAGTATTAGATCAAACACATATCTGCACTAAAGACAAAAGCCAAGTCTAAAAAGATGAGTAAAACTTTGTTATAATGTTTGCCAGTGATACCAAATTACCCAACATGCAAATTTAACTCTGACAATGAGCAGAAGACTTGCATGATGCTGAATGACTGGACGATAAAATGGCAGATGAAATTAAATGCTGATGCAAGCAAAGTAATATATACAGAGAAAAACAACTCTAATTTTGCATACACGTAATGATGGTCTAAATTATCTCCGGAAAAATAGCTTAGACTCATTGTACACTGTCCTCAAAAAAATGTCATTTTAAACCTCAGCAGTAGTTAGAAAGGCAAATGGAATGTTAGGAATTATAATGAAAGAAGCCAAAACTAAATCAGAAAAACATCATTATGCCACCATTCTCAACTTTGACACCAGCTGCAGTTCTGGTCAGCTCATTGCAAAAAAACCCACTGTAGAACCAGAAAAGTTGACAAATAGAGGAAAGTGACAAATATCTTCAGCAATAGGGAACAACCTTTATACAGAGAGTAAATAGACTGTGACTTTAGCTAGAGAAAGAGATTAGTAAGGAGAGAGAGGTCTTAAATGTTGATGTAAAAGTGCTTAGCAAATTTGCTTCTTGTAACCCAGGATTTAACGATTACCTGATAAAATGATTAACACTTTTAAACCCCACCCCCAGAATAGGAAGTCCTTTTCCATATATCTCATGAGGAAATTGTGGCACTGAGAGGCACAGGACATTGTAGAGGTCATAGGTTCTGAAGGAAACAGTTATATTCATGAAAGAAAAGTCCTTTAAGATCCAAATGAAACCACTACCTCAAAGAGTCTAATTAAATTGTTTCTTAGAACACATTAAGGACATGTGTGCATAGAGCTATAAAAAAACCCTTAGATTTTGATCCATAGTTCAGGGATTACTTAAGCACGGTTTCTTCATCTGCACAGCATCTGATGCCAGCTTACAAAAGAAACTTAGAAATTACACATTTTTGGCTAAAAATACTGCAGAAATGACTACTACCTATAATCAAAAAAGTATGATTTTCTACAGTCCTTCACCTGCCAGGTAGTCTCACTAAGATTTGTTTAAATGCAGATCAGTTCAGCATAGAAGAGGAATTTTCTGGTGGCACAGCTGACATAAAATAGTCTATTCAGATCAGGAAGTCATTAGGCAGCTGACAGGATACATGTATTTTCCCACCTATCTACTCATGTAAAGGTCAGACTGCAAAATTAGCATAGAAAAATTAGATAAGATTCAGAATACTGAGGATGTTTGAGGGGGCTTGATACTGGGGCTGACATAAATCTGCTTTCAAATTTAATGTTACCATAGTTAAAAACAAACTACAGCCCCTTTTGCCTGATTAGCACACTAACTTCCTCAGATAACAGAGAAGCTTGGTGTGAATAGGTTTACAAAAGATTCTCACAATTTCTTAGCTGTTCTTTTGCCTTTCAAACAAGATGAGAGATATGATGTGAGATAGTATGTGAAGTAACACAGCAAAAGTGATGAAAGTATTTTTACATTATTTCAGAATATGTGATACAAAAAAGCAACAAATCAGAAATGGACACCAGGAAGCACTTTGTAATTTGTCCAGGGTATAAATTATCATCTCAGGAATTTTCTAAGGCAGAATTAAAAGAAAGTTTAGAGCTGAGTGTTATTAGCAGAACAAATGATTTTTCACCAATTAACAAAGTACATTGAGTTCAGTACTCCTGACACTATTTTGTAGTTTGTTTTGTGGTTTTTTTTTCTTAATAAACAAATGCAAATAATAATTCTGATATACTTAATTTTGTGAGGACTGAGCATGACACGGAACAACCATAGGAAACTGCAAATCACAGCTAGTTCTACTACTCAGAATCAGTAGTTAGGTATAGAAATGTCAGTTGCTAAGATTTTTAATACCTCAGAGCATACAGAATTTGTCAATTCACATGGAACACTCAGCACTGCCGAGAAACACCTTTAAAAAGCCAGAGTTGAGCTACAGATGAGAATTATTTTGTCTCCTTGTTTGTAAAGCACTACACTATTCCCAAATACTTGACCAAATTTCCTTGAGATTCACCTTGTGTATGTGCCATCATCTGTGGTATTTCTAATTGAATTGATCTCCCCAGATTTTTCACTAATTAAGTACATATAAAACATACAGCCTTTCTGAGTGCTAGGAGACATGCGTCTCATATGGAATGTCTGTCTGAGGGGAAATTCTAAAATACCAAAACATAATCTATCTCAAATCAGGATAAAATGTTACCATTCAATTTGCAAAAAATGTTGTGTGTTGTTTTGGGTGGTTTTTTTTTTTTTTTTGGTTGGGTTTTTTGTTTTTGTTTTGTGGCCCCCCCCCCCCGTACAGTTTCTAACACAAATGTTGACTATTTATCACTTATAAATGCTTAAATAATCAGAATGGATTGCTTCTATAATTTCCCTTCAAAATGTTTATGAGGTCATCTGTTTCCTTGAAATGATTCTATTTAATTAAAAATAATTGTATCAGAAACTAATTTATCTGATCTATAAACGATTTGGCTATTATTTATATTTATCAATATTAAAGGCAGTAGGTCTTGACAAGATTTAAAACTGAGGCTCTGATCATTTACGTCAGCGTAAGTTCCTGTGTCGGATTTG